CCATACACGTAAAATGAAACAAAGAAATGTAAAATATAATAAGACTTACAAACCCCAAAGATCCCTTAATCACTAGAATTTCAGAAAAACAGTTCTCTGTCCTGTGTGTCACCCTGCCCTCTATTCCAGTCATTTTTGGTTGCCTTGCTTTGTCTCTTACTTGAATCTCTGGTCTTCACTAAGGGTGTGAATAACTGTTGCACCTCCAAAAGAGTGTCCAATCACCGCTATTTTATCCACATCGATAGCACCCTGGGTAGACAAAGCAGGACAGTGAGTCAGCAACTCAGCCGGCATTAGAAGAGTACATTAAAGAATCTGTCCATCATACAATCGTTATTCACTTCAGGTCTGGTTAAGTGCCTTGAGGGCATAACATAGAACACACACACACAGAGAGAGAGAGAGAGAGAGAGAGAGAGAGAGACAGAGACAGAGACAGAGACAGAGAGACAGAGAGACAGAGAGACAAAGAGGGAGAGACAGACAGACAGACATTCAGAGGTAAACTTACCAGTTTTTATCATCCACACTGAAACAGCCCCTCTGCTGATTTCCACCCCACCTCATCCATGTTTATTAGTTTATTCATTCTAAAAATATTTATTGAATATCTCCCATGTCCCACACTGTAGTCTCACTTTAGTGAGCTCACAGTTTATCATGGGAGAAAGTGATAGAAACTTTCGATCCGATACCACGCCACACAGCATCTGGGGCCCCGGGACCCAGGAGCACACTTGGCAGGACAATAGCCAACCCGGACTCTGCAAAGGCCTTGGAGTCCACAGGAGCCTCTCAGAGCAGGTGACGTCTGACTTGAGTGTTGAAGATTAGACAGGAGTTAGTAAAAAGGAAGTGTTTGTCGCAGGCCAAGGGGACATGTACAGAGGCATGGAGACAGAAGGAGGTGGTGTCCCGAGCTGTCGCAGGCCATGATGCAACTACAGAGAATGGCGATTGATAATTCAGATGTCAACCCACCAGATGAATAATTCTCTGATGGAGGAACCCCACTCAAGCAAGGCTTACATGGCCACAGACTCTGGAAACTGGCTGCTTTTGTCTGTAAATTCACATGTGCAAAAACAGCTGTGGAATCTCCTTGTTACTGTGCATTTTCATGTAATGTGTATATGTAATCTCATGATTACATCTCAGTCTTGTGGGCACTTATATCTGTGGACTGTCTAAAGATGACTCCTCATTAAGCTATATAATTTTGATAAATAGAAAATATACTAGGATATGCTTCATAATTAGATCTACTGTTCCATGAGGACTGTAAGACACTTAGGCCCTGTTCTTTATCATTAGCTCAGACTGAAATAAAGAAAACAGCAATTTCTTCTCAGTTCTATGACAAGCTACATACAATTGGCTGATTTGGGGCCTGAGAGCAAATTCAAACTAAACTGAATACCTCATAAGATAAACCTCCACAGAAAATACACAAGGACAAATTCCCAGGTGTGCTGTGGATACGTTCTGTATGCTGTGAATGTGTTGCTCTGATTGGTTGGTAAATAAAATGCTGATTGGCTAGTAGCCAGGCAGGAAGTATAGGTGGGACAAGCAGAGAAGAGAATTCTGGAAACAGGAAGGTTGAGTCAGGAGTCGCCAGCCAGACACAGAGGAAGCGAGATGTAAAAGTGCCGGTAAGCCACAAGCCACGTGGCAACTTATAGATTAACAGAAATGGGTTAATTTAAGATATAAGAACAGTTAGCAAGAAGCCTGCCACGGCCATACAGTTTATAAGTAATATAAGTCTCTCTGTGTGTTTACTTGAGTCCAAACGGCTGGCGGCAGTGCCGCAGGAGCTGAACAGAACCAGGAAAACTTTAGCTACACAGATGTCTTATTGCAGAACCAAGGTCAGCCATGAAGCAACTTTGGTGCCAGTTTCCCCACTAAAAGTCTGGCTGACCACTCAGACCAATGACTAACGCCCTACACAAACTACTCAAGCATTAACTCTCTGCATGATCTTCTAACCTCAGATTCTTACTACAAGACTCAAGGGTCAATTAACTAACTGTCCATTGTTTAGGTCCAGATATATCTAATTCATCAATTAACCAAGTCCTGAGAGAAATAGTTTTATGTCCAACTAACTGTGGGAAAAGTTACACAATTAGCCAGAGCTACAGAGGATGCTCTGGCCTCACAGCCTTGAATAAAGAGTTACAAGTTCCCTTCCTCATGATCTGGAGTTACAAGCAGGGTTAAAAAAAATACATATTTTTAGGTTTGGGACACTTTCAATGCCACTGCCCGGAAAATGCCAAACACCATGTCTCTGCCTATGTGTTGCCATGGTAAATGGCTCGGCTCCCTATCGTCGGCTCAAGGAATGTATTATGACCCTCAAATGCAGCTTTTTATTGCTTTTCATTGGGATGCTATATAAGGGGAGGCAGAACAAAGAAAGGAAGTAGAAGAACTTGAGAGAAACATCTGTGAGTTTCTATTCCCTCAGATAAATAAGAATTATTCCTAGTCCCCCCTATTCTGAAGGCATTCAATCTGCAACTCCAGAGCTGTTCTGGGGGCTGGTCTCTCAGGCTGCAGTAAGGTGGCTTGTTGATAGCCAACTCTTGATTGTATCTAGAGAAGAGCCCATCATCTTAACCTCAAACTAAACTGCTTCTAGTTCCTTCTACACCCGGCCCTCCAACCTACACTTCATACCATTCACACTTGCACCACTCCCCCGCCCCCCCAAAAAAAAAAACGCCATTCAAAACATTTGGCCAACTCTTCAAGATCAAGCTTAAAATGATGCCATCACTACCCAACAAATTATACCTCCCTTGGAAGTAGGAAGTTGAGCCACATGTAACTACTGTTTTCAGTTCAAAGTGGCAGTTTTATTTACAATTTAACCTGATGTAGGTTTCACTGCTGCTTGCATTGTGTGCATTGTGTGTGTGGGGGGGGGGCGTGCACACATGCACATTCTGGTCTAGTTTTATTTCTATTGCTGTGGTATACCTGGGGGGTAGGGAAAGGGCAACTTAGATGAGGAAGGGTCTATTTTAGCTCACAATTCTATTTTTATAGTCCATGATGGCATGGAAGTCGATGTCAGGAATTTAAAACAGCTAGTCAATAACCAAGTGCAGAGAGAAATGAATGCATTCATGGTTTCTCACTTGCTAGCTTACTTGTTTACTCGTGCTCAGCTACATTCTCTACTCTTACACAGTTCAGGACTTCCTACCTAGGGATTAGTGCTGCCCACAGTGGACTTCCCACATCAATGAACTTAATTAAGACAATCCCCTACAAACATACCCATAGACCAACCCAGTGTAGACCATCCCCCATTGAGTCTCCCTTTCTAGGTGATTCTAGACTGGGTCAAGTTGACAATCCTAGCCATTCATCACAAAGTTTCTTATCATCTACCTTGCAATGTAGCAGAAAAACAGCCAACAAAGAACAATACAAAACACAGTCCAAGGAAGAAAGAGCTCTGGTAAATGCTCACCTTCAGCTGATTCAAATCAAAGTCGGTACCTAGTATGTTCTCTTTTGGGCTTCCATGTTCAATGTCAAGCATTGCATTGAGAGCCTGGGAACATTCTTTTGCTCTTTGCCGCACCTAATAAAATAATTAGAAGGAAATGATACATAAAATATTCTAACACCTTAACATTTGTGTAGGGTTGTCTGTGGGAGAATGGTTAGTTACACACTGCAAACACCTCAGTGAAAAACAATAGGGATACAAGTTAGCACTGTAATCGGGGTGTCAGCTGCAGCTGGACTCAGCTCACCTCTTGCTTCCCTGATATGTGACTTGTTCGGATTTCTATTTTTGTATACTAATAGTGGGGGCATATGAACAAAGTCCACCCATCTCAGAGGGGATGCCAACAGAAGAAAAAAACGATTCCACCGAGTCCCAAGCCTCGTTTGGTGAACTGCTAAGTGTATCAGGGTCGCTTACATGGGTGTGAGTGGTGACTCACAAAAGCTCCATCCCTCCAGCAGTAGAGCAGTCAGCTGCTCCCTGCCTGTGCAGCCTCAGGGAGGGACCTTGTGAGTCCTTGCAGCTTTCTGAGCTTCCTGGAAAGGAAGATTCCATAGTGCCGTAGCCTACTTCAATGAAATGTTGTGTGGGTCTAAATATCCTGCCGCATCTAACACACCCAAGATAAAGAAGCAGCCGGTATACTTTATCTCAAGTAATTATTCCAGTGACCATGAGAGACAGATATCGTTAATCACTATTTTGTAACACATCAAAGCACAAGATTTACTGGCCAGGATCGTTCCACTGCCAAGTCATGGAGCTAACATTCACAGACAGGCAGATTGTAAGGCTTGTACATTTCTCTAGGGTGGGGGTGGGGAGGTAATGGACAGGGTTTCATTATGTAGCTCTGGATGACCAGGAACTCACTATGTAGACCAAGATGATCTCAAACTCACAGAGGTCTGCCTGCTTCTGCCTCCCAAGGTCTGGGAAAGGCCTGTATATTTAGACTACTGGATGCAACCTATGCAGCCTCTCTGAAACCTTTTTAATAATACATCTAGTCATCTTTTTTTTAAAAAAAAAAAATCTGTTTTGAGATTCCCAAACCAGACACTTTAACAGAGAGAACTCTGAGTGGCACTGTCATTTCCCAGAGTAATTTTGTCTGTTTTTCTGCGAAACAGACATTTTAATACAAAGGTTTTTCTCCACTTGGAGAGCCTTCTGACAGACCTTTGGGTAAGTGGGAGAGCTAACAGCGAACATTAACAGATGTCGTCATTTTCTTTGTGCCCTGAAGGCCACGGCCTCTTCCCTCACTGAACTGTACCTGCTCTTTCCGGACTCTCTCCGCCTCCTCTTGGTTTACGGTTCTAAGGTAAAGCCAAGACCTGTTTTCCATTTTTGCAGCCGCCTGGTCCTCAAAATAGTAAGTTGCTGATGCAGATTTGTCTCTACAACACACACAGATTTAATTACGCTCCATTCATCCGACCGCCTTCCTCAATTGTTCCATTTTCCTCTCCGCTGTTGACTTCTCTTTCCTCTTCTGCTCTACTTTTTCCCTCCACAAGTAAAAGAGGACTCCAAGGGAGTGCTCAGAAAAGGATCTACCTGTCCACTGTCTAGGGACATGCAAATAACCCCTCCATTATCACAATCCTAGAAGACACCATTGGGACCATGTTGAAAATCCGTTCTCATGAGCTAGGGACACAGCTCAGTGGTAAAGCGCTTGCCTAATCCGCACAATGTCCTATTTCCAATCCCCTGTACTACAAAAATAACACAAAACTCTCTGAAATCCAATTCCACCTAACAGATTTAGGTATTTCAGGTAAAATGATTTTGGGTAAATTACCTGTAGTGCCTCCATTTCAATCTTGTGTAACATGAATAAAACAACCATCACATAGGATTGTTACAAATTCTAAAGAACTGAGATAGTGTCTGAAACATGGCAGTTTAGTCCATGGCAGACTTTTATTGCTCTCAGGACATGAACTGTCTTAAAGATCTCGAAAATGTAGTTCATTCTCTTTTTCTTTTCATCATGTAAAATTCCACCCATGGTTTTCATAAGCTTAGGGAACAGTTATAGGTAGAGTTAAGAACAATAACATAGTTTATTTTGTTTCTGAATTTGACATACACGGGAACATACCTGTGCTCTACAGTAGCAACTATGAACCCATAAGATGCCAGGCCAATGCCAATAGCAGAATAGATTGTTCTGGAAAACAAAAAGAGGGAAGCAATTACCAACCACAATTACAAAACCAAGTCCACTGAGAAAATGAGGAACATGGGGCCCGTTACACCCTGCATCAGCACTTTGGGCAGCTCTGGTCCTCAAAGGGCTTACCCCTTAGGAGGCATGTGGCAGTGTCTGGAGGTGTTTTATTTCCTCTGGCGTCTGGTGAGCAGAGGCACACTGCTAAGCAACCTACAGTACACAGGGTAAGGCCTCCAAAGCAAGCAATTGCGTGGTCTAAACTGTCAAGAATGCTGAGTTAACGAAACTCAGAGTCAATGTCACAGTGATTCCAAATAATGACTTTTAGAGTTGATGCAGGACCATCTCTACAACAGGTTTAATTATTCTCTTTCATCCCTCACCTGACTGACTGTCTTCTTCAGCTCCATCCTTGACTCAACTTTCCTCTTATCTGTTGACTTCCCTTTCCTCTTTGGGAATGCTCAGAAAAGTATTTGATTGTTCATTGTCTAGTGACACACCAAGACACCTCCTTTATCAAAGGCAAATGTGGGGGCCATATCCAAAAGCCGTTCTCATGAGCCGGGCACACAGCTCAGTGGTAAAGTGATCTGAACTAAATTTAAGATTTAATTTTTTTTATTTATGTGTATAATGTATAGGTGCATGTATGTGCAGTTGCGTGTGAAGGCCAGAAGAGGGCACTGTGTCCCTTGGAGCTGCAGTCAGAGGTAGTTGAGAGCTACCCGACATGGGCCCTGAGCTATGAGCTTGGGTTCTCTGTGAAAGCAATAAGTGCTTTTATAACCACTGAGCCATCTCCACAGCTCCAGAAACGTTTGACAAGGTAATGCACACAGGGAGGCAGTACCCAGGAGGTAGGTCAGATTCCATCATTTGCTAACTGCCGGTCCTGCTTTGGGCCCTTGAGTCTTCTCAGTTGGGGGTCTTTACCTGTGAAAGGCGGTCACCACTAAGGTCAAGTGAGCACAAGTATCTTCAGCGCCTTGACCCTACTTAAAGCAGTGTAACTATTCAACACACGCTTAGTGTTCTGGGAATGGTCAAACTTCGAGCAGGGGGTAAATAACTGTGGACGGTCACATTCCCACTCTTCTGCATCGCCATTTTCTAAGCTCTCTGTCTCACTTCATGTGTTCCATAGTCAATGACCGTGGAAATACAAAAGGGGTGTCTAGGAACCGCGTTTGCTACTGCTGAAGGCACGGGAAGGGATGTGATCCACTGCGCAGACTCGAAGACCTGCCTGCTGCAGTCAGAGTCGCCGCTTCCAGCTTCGTAGGGAAGACATCCGCGCTCGGCTGTAGCAGCCACTGACGGTGTGAAAGCTGAGTGCCCGGGGCTCTGCTGCGAGGTAGCTGTTTTAGAGATGGCTGCCTACGTTTGATTCTCGAATTCCCAGTTGCCGATCTCTACTGCAGCAGAAATCCAATAATTTTCTGAACCATGAATCCAGTGCTGAAGAGAGATACCCAACTTTCCACCAGCCCCACAGCCAGTTCTTAGGGAACCCCAAGTGTCCAACATGC